AAGCACAAGTCCAAAATCTAACAGCTCACCTAAAGGAGCTAGAGGCAGAGCAACAAGAACGCCCTAAACCCAGTAGAAGAAGAGAAATAGTAAAAATTAGAGCAGAAATAAACAACATAGAGACCAAAGAAACAATTGAACAGATCAATGAAACCAAGAGTTGGTTTTTTGAAAAAGTAAACAAAATTGACAAACCTCTAGCCAGGCTTATCAAAAAGAAAAGAGAGAGCACCCAAATAGACAAAATTATGAATGAAAATGGACTTATTACAACCAACCCCTCAGAAATACAAGCAATTATCAGGGAATACTATGAAAAATTATATGCCAACAAATTGGACAACTTAGAAGAAATGGACAAATTCCTAAACACACACTCACTACCAAAATTCACACGGGAAGAAATAGAAAACCTGAACAGACCCATAACGAGTGAAGAAATCGAATCAGTGATCAAAAATCTCCCAACAAATAAGAGCCCTGGACCTGATGGTTTCCCTGGGGAATTCTACCAGACATTTAAAACAGAATTAATCCCAATTCTTCTCAAGCTATTCCAAAAAATAGAAGTCGAAGGAAAACTCCCGGACTCATTTTATGAAGCCAGCATCACTCTGATTCCCAAGCCAGACAGAGATCCAACAAAAAAAGAGAACTATAGGCCAATATCCTTGATGAATACGGATGCAAAAATTCTCAACAAGATCCTTGCAAATCGAATCCAGCAGCATATCAAAAGAATCATCCACCAAGATCAAGTGGGATTCATTCCTGGGTTACAGGGCTGGTTCAACATTCGCAAATCAATCAATGTGATCCATCATATCAATAAAAGAAAAGATAAAAACCATATGATCCTGTCAATAGATGCAGAAAAAGCATTTGACAAAATACAGCATCCCTTCTTAATAAAGACTCTCGAGAAAGTTGGGATAGAAGGAACCTACTTAAACATCATCAAAGCCATCTATGAGAAGCCTTCAGCTAACATCATCCTCAACGGGGAAAAACTGAGAGCTTTCCCCCTGAGATCAGGAACACGACAGGGATGTCCACTCTCACCACTGTTGTTTAACATAGTGCTGGAAGTCCTAGCATCAGCCATCAGACAACAAAAGGAAATCAAAGGCATCAGAATTGGCAAAGAGGAAGTCAAACTTTCACTCTTCGCAGATGACATGATACTCTACATAGAAAACCCGACAGACTCCACCAGAAGCCTACTAGAACTGATCCAAGAATTCAGCCAAGTTGCAGGGTACAAAATCAACGTACAGAAATCGGTTGCATTTTTATACACCAATAATGAAGCAACAGAAAGAGAAATCAAGAAACTGATCCCATTCACAATTGCACAAAAAACCATAAAATACCTCGGAATAAACCTAACCAAGGATACAAGAGATCTGTATGATGAAAACTATAGAAAACTTATGAAGGAAATTGAAGAAGACACAAAGAAATGGAAAAACATTCCATGCTCATGGATAGGAAGAATAAATATAGTTAAGATGTCATTACTACCTAAAGCACTCTACACATTCAATGCAATTCCAATCAAAATTGCACCAGCATACTTCTCAAAACTAGAACAAACTATCCAAAAATTTGTATGGAACCACAAAAGACCCCGAATAGCCAAAGTAATACTGAAAAATAAAACCAAAACGGGAGGTATCACCATCCCAGACTTCAGCCTCTACTACAAAGCTGTCATCCTCAAGACAGTATGGTATTGGCACAAAAACAGACACATAGACCAATGGAACAGAATTGAGAACTCAGAAGTGGACCCAAAAGTATACAGCCAACTGATCTTTGACAAAGCAGGAAAGAATATCCAATGGAAAAAAGACAGCCTTTTTAACAGATGGTGTTGGGAGAACTGGACAGCAACATGCAGAAGAATGAAACTAGATCATTTTCTCACACCATGCACAAAAATCAACTCAAAATGGATAAAGGACCTGAACGTGAGACAGGAAACTATCAACACCCTAGAGGAGAAAGCAGGAAACAACCTCCTTGACCTCCACCGCAGCAACTTCTTACTTGACACATCCCCAAAAGCAAGGGAATCAAGAGCAAAAATAAACTGTTGGGACCTCATCAAGATTAAAAGCTTCTGCACAGCCAAGGAAACAACCCAGAAAATTAATAGGCAACCAACGGAATGGGAAAAGATAGTTGCAAATGACATATCAGATAAAGGGTTAATATCCAGAATCTATAAGGAACTCACCAAACTACACGCCCGAAAAACAAACAACCCAGTGAAGAAATGGGCAGAAGACATGAACAGACACTTCTCCAAAGAGGACATCCAGATGGCCAACAGACACATGAAACGATGCTCAGCATCCCTCCTCATCAGGGAAATACAAATCAAAACCACACTGAGATACCACCTCACGCCAGTCAGAGTGGCTAAAATGAGCAAATCAGAGAACTCTAGATGCTGGCGAGGATGTGGAGAAACGGGCACCCTCCTACACTGTTGGTGGGAATGTAAACTGGTACAGCCCCTCTGGAAAACAGTGTGGAGGTTCCTCAGGAAACTAACAATAGAACTCCCTTATGACCCAGCAATAGCACTGCTAGGAATTTACCCAAGGGATACAGAAATGCTGAGGCATAGGAGCACATGTACCCCAATGTTCATAGCAGCACTCTCCACAATAGCTAAAACATGGAAAGAGCCTAAGTGTCCATCAACAGATGAATGGATCAAGAAGATGTGGTTTATCTATACCATGGAATACTACATGGCAATGAGAAACAATGAAATCTGGCCATGTGTAGCAACATGGATGGACCTTGAGGGTGTTATGCTGAGCGAAATAAGTCAGGCAGAGAAGGACAAATATCATATGTTTGCACGTATAGGAGGATTAGGAGGAACTTGACGGAGGAACAAGGGGGAGAAGAAGGGCGGAAATGGTGGGGGAAAGGGAGAGAGGCAAACCATGAGAGACTCTTGAATGCTGACAAAAACTGAGGACTGATGGATGTGGGGGGGAGGGGGGATGGGCATGGAGGAGGGCACTTTGGGGATGAGCACTGAGTGTTATGTGGAAACTAATTTGACAATAAACTATTTGTAAAAAAAAAAAAAAAAAAGAAGTCATGAAAACCCAGGAAAACTTTCAGGATCCATTTCCTGATTTGTAGTTAAAACCATCACTGAAAAAAAACCTTTAACTTTTTCCTCTGCTTTACATTTGTTTTTGATTCGAAATGTTCTTTACTATCACACATTTATAATTTATTTTTAAATATATCATCTTTGAATGAAAACTCTCCACTCTATATAATTACTGAAAGCAGTATTAGTTTGAAATTAACGACTTTACTGCATTAAAATTCCTAAAATTAAGCCCCCAATGCTTACATAAGGGTTCAAAATAAGAGCAGCATTAGCAGAAAGTTGTAACAGAAAACAAATTGTTTTTACCAACCTCAAAAAAAAATCACTCATTATCACTGTGCACAATACTTTTCTTGCTTTCAAGTGGGAAGTTAAAAGTGGTTATTTCTGTGTCTCACAGCTCTTGAAATACCAGTAGGCTGATGAAAGCATTCATCAAGACCCAGTTTTTCACTCCTGCAGTTTGCCTATAGAATGTTGACAGTTTGTAACACATTGACAGATGGAAACAATACATAATTACCCTTACAAAATCTAGAGTCACTAGAAGATAATCTTTCTAGTCTCTTCGAAAAAATCTTCACTTTGCTACAAGTAGCAATTACAAATAGTAGTTGACATATAACCAGTGCTTATGTGCCAAGCACTGATCTTTACCCTTATTCTCTGCCATAGTAATGTCATTATTCTGTTTGTGTCCCTCCCCCCCACTAATCCAGAGGCTCCGTTTATTGTATTCCCATCACCTAGTATGCCTTACACATAGTAGGCACTGAATTTTTAAATGATTCATTGTTCTAAACACTTTAAGTAACTTTTTAAAACCACTGGGCATGCCCTAGAGTGGTAAGAAACCCAGAAGGATAAATGGAATGTGTTACATTTAGTAGAGTATTCAATGAAACTTTTACGTGTATATGTCCTATTTCTTATCTATGTGTGGCAGTAAAAAATTAGAAGGCTGAAAATCACTGCTTTATATGGATTATATCATTTGCTCCTCACAATAACCCTGTAGACAATCACATAACTTCTACTTTAAAGTAACAGCGCTGAGGTTTCAAGATGGCATATATGACGTCTAAGATGACAGAACTCTCTAAAAGTAAGAACATCACTTTATAGAACTATAAAGACTCACTCATAGAATACCATACTAAGAAAATCTGAATTAACTAAGCAAGGTTTCAGTAATAACAATTGTGACATGAGTGATAAAGAAAAAAAAAAGGCTTTTAAGGCAGTCAGTCCTGGCTGCATTTAATATCTGGCTCAGCCACTAACCAGCTGTGTGGATTTTGGACGAACTTAATCTCCTTACATCTTGATTTCCCCTTGTGCAAAAGAAGGGTATTCATTAAATTGTTCAGTTTTAAATGACTTGATGTATGTTAATAGCCGAGACCACTAAATAGAAGCTGTTCTGATTAAAATAATTAGCATTTCTTTTTTCTTGGTCCGATAAATCACATTCAACCCCTTGCACCACAATAGGAATGTGTAAAAAAATGTGAATAAGGAATTTCCTGGATTAAAGAGCAAAGTATGGGAACTGAGCAAGGGTGGAATAGAGCCACCCACGAGGTTCTGTCTGTTTGGGTCACAAAGATGCTAAATCAAACTCAGGGAGTTAGTTCAGGTAACTATGGGACTCAAGGCAAACAACACTGCTTAACCGTAAAAGCAAACACAAACTACTTCGTCTTCCCTCAAGGATCACACCAACATCCATCTTCTTCCTCTGTATCCTGGCTGGGGCCCATTCCAGGTGTTCGGAAAGGCACCTGGGTCAGCTCCCGCCCATAGGGCCTGAGACCCAGGGGCTGCGACGCAGAGGTTCGGGGCGACTCACCCCGGAGACTCCGTTGATACTGCCCCAGAACCTCCTCCAGGGTAGAGTTCTCCGGGGACTTCGCCATGCACAGTCTCGGGGGCCAGAGATGGGAGTTACGTGGGGAAGTGTCCAATGTCGCCCCTCGGGAAACCAGCGGCCTCGCAGCCAGAGTAGCGCCCGCCGGCTTCCTGTCGCTGCTGTCATTGGGGAGCGTGGACTCCCGGCCGGAGCTCGCCGGGAGCCCTTCCCACCCGCTGGCCCTCACGGTGGACGTCGGGAGTTGTAGTCCGCAGGCCGCGGGCCTGCAGTCACGAGGCTGCTAAGAGGCCCTTCCACCTGAACTACAATTCCCAGAGGTCATTGCGCCGCAAGCTTTGGCGGTTTGGCAGCCGGATCCGGTTGCCAAGAGACTGCCTGGAGGCTCCGCCCTTTTTCTGTAGCCCTGCATGGCTTAGACCTGCCTTTATGCCATCCTGCTGTTTGGACCCCCGAACCGACGGAAAGAGCTCACTGAGGACCCTGACTCTTCTAAATCTGCTGGTTTGCAGTTGGTCCTTGAGGTTTCTCAAGGACACAAATAACAAGCTCTACACCCTTCAGCCGCGACGTCTGCCAAAACGGCCAAATACATTCTCGAGAACAGGAAGCTTTCTATCTTCGAAACAGCCTAGATTGTGAAGGCGGCGGACACTACAAATCCTAGCATGCCCCGCAACCCGACCTCCGCTTGAAGTTGGCGCACTGCCCTCTGGGAACTGTAGTCCTTTTTAGCTGCGGCCCCGGCTAACATCAGGGTCCTCTTCATTGTTCAAGCTGGTCTTTGGAGCACGCCTGCGCAATAGGCAGCTGGAGAAGGCTTTGGGTGAGACCCTCCGCACGGCCCCTTTTCATTGTCTGCGTTTGGCGCCTGCGCAGTAAGAGATCGTTGGGCCGGCCGGAGGAGGGGATAGGGCCGGGCTCCTCGCCCTTTCCCCAGGCGCCTGCGCACTGGGGCGGCCGTGCTCTGCCGTTACCGCTATGTGTGGGGCGTGTGTGGAATAACGTTATTGCCCAGCGGAGCTCAGGGCCGGGAGCTCAGCCGCAGCGGCAGCGACGACGACGATAGCGGCGACGACGGCGACGGGGTGGGGGGAGGACGGCGTGCGAGAGACTCACGGGACGCGACGCGCCCCGCCTCCCCCGTCCGGTCCCTCTCTCCGCGGTGAGGGGTAAGTGATGCGCTCGGCTGCTCGGCTGAGGCGCCGCCGCCGCCGCCTCCCCACGGCCTCCGGGGCTTGCAGCGGGGGCTCGGGGCGCGGCCCGCGGCGGCCGGGGGTGGGGGGGCCGGGCCGGGCGGCCCAGGGGGCTCTTCCCGGCGGCTGCGCGCGGCGCCGCCACCCCTCCCCTCCCCCACCCTGCCCCCAGCCCCACCCGCCGTCCGTCCGGGCTCGCGGCCGCCGCCTGTTCCCGAGGACGCCTCGCCTCGGTTTCGGCCGCGTGTCGGCTTTGTGCAGCCCTCCCCCCTGCGCCGTGGCCGGCCTGCCCGGGGTGCGGGCGGAGCCCCGGAGGCGACGGCTGCGCTGCCGCCGGGGCCGGGACCCGAGCGGCTGGCAGCGCCAGCCCGGTCTGTGAGGTGGGTCAGGCGAGGTGGCGCGGTTTGGGGGCGGCCCCAGGGCGGGGGGGACGCGGGGTCACGCCGCCCCTGCCGGGCGACTGCACCCGCGCAGCCCGCGGCCCCGCGGTAAACCCGGGTGGGGGGTGGGGAGCGGCTTCCCGTCGGCTTCATTGTCCTGAGATTGAAACGCGGGGTTGGGGTTTGCCTTCCGTCATATTACGCGTGACCCAGGCGGGAAGACCTGGGGTTTGTATCCCGAGTTACAAAACCTCAGGGGGCACGGGGGTCTGTTTAGCAGAGCCGTGTGCCCTGTATTTGAAGGAGGAAGGCTCCCGGAAGACAGGGACGGAGCGGCCCCAGCAGCGCCCAGGTGATGCCCGTCAGTGTGGACTCGGAGCGGGCCTCGCGGCGACGCTGCGGTGCGGCCGGGACGCCGACCAGCAGGATTGTTTCCTCGCTGGGTGGGCAACGCGTTCCCTTCCTCAGGGAATGGATTAGGCTACATCTTTCGGTTTTGGTTGTTGTTGTTGTTGTTGAGCAGCCATAAAAAAAAAAAAAAAATAGGCCTCTTACACTTCTGTGCCTGATTTTGTTTATTGATCTTTTTATTCTCTAAATGAAAACTAACTCGTTTGGAGGCAGTGTAGCGAGGCAGATGATAGGTGATTGGAAAGGCATCTTTTAAAATGATTTGATCTTAAGCTCTCGAAGCTGACAGCCGTTTGCTGGCGTTAAAACCAGGGGAAGAAAGGACGGAGCAGGATGGGGGGGGTGTGGAGCGATAATGGGAGAGGAGAGAGTTACATTGTGAGGACTCTACCTGAGTCTTCACCCGTACCGCCCTAGCTGGACGGGCTTCAGAAAGTTAGTAATTCAGCTCTGGAAATAGTACATCGCAAGGGGCATATAATTTAGTATTTCTTCTGCCATTATTTTTTTAAAAAAAACTAAAACCAGAACTGTTTTTCATCTTCCTAACTTCGTAGGTATGGTAGAATTTTGATGTTTTTAAAACTCAATCTGAGTGCACCTGGCACAGAGGAGGACCCTGCAACTTGGAAAGTTAACTGATTGGTGGTGTCCAGGGCTAACTGCTGATGAAGGGGCAGAACCAAACCAGGATCCGTTCCTGGAGTGTGCTTCTCCGTTTTGTCCCTTAGTCCCCCTGCCCTGTGAGAATGTATGGAAAGCTTCTCTACTGCTCCTTGACTTGTCTTTGACGATCAAGTTCATCGATACCCTAGTTGTATCGATCTTGTCCTTTGTGATGTAAAAATAGTAATTCTACAGAAGTGGAGCTCCCGTTTTATAAATTAACTTATGATCTAAAGAAAGGTGCCCTAACGGGGTTTTCATAAAAACAAACTCTCGGGACCTTTTCCCTACGACTTATTAGTAACCATATTTTAATAGCATCTCCTGACATTCAGTTGTAGTTTATAGTGTGATCACCTCTGCAAGCTCTGTTACAGATAAAATTGTCCTGTAACAAGAACCTGTGAAGTTCCTTTTCCTTCAGTTAATGAATTGTATTGTTTGCAGCTTACCTTTTGAGAAAAAAATCTGTGTTGAACTTTTTCATCAAAATTAAATTTATGCTTTTTCATTGAGTTGGTTTCGACACAAAGTGCTTTTTTGCTTTATAAACTTACCCTTTAATTCTCCATTGCATTTTAACAGACTTTTAAAAAAGAATTTATTAATGCGCCTTTTAAATTTCAGCTTACTTAAAAATAATCTGTTAAATTCAGCATGAGGAGGTGTATGAAGTCAAACTTTAAATGTATTTTACGGGTAAATTTCGCTGTTCTCAATTACTTTGTATGGAAATAAATAACCATCTGCGTGTTTTCTATCTTAGCATTGAAATAATGAAATTTATGCTATAAAATTATCATACATTATGCCCATTGATGCAGATATCAAAGTGTATTTAAAAATTCCATGCTTAGGGATCTGTTTTATTTATTTCAGGTATCAATTTCTTGTTTCCTTTTATCACTGAAGAAAAAACCAGTTGTATTGTTGCATCTGATAGCAATCAGATATCACCCATCTAGCACTCAGTACTGTATGTTTAAACTTGTTAACATTGTTTTTATTCAACAAAATTCTCCTGTAAAATAATTTTTACTATGTTAATTTGTTATGAATGACTTTGTTCTCTGTCTTGAACATTGGAGTTATAAGCAGTGTCCTGTTCTAATAAATACCTAACAGACAGCAGCGTACTAAGTTGCCAGCTAAAATATCTGTACAGTTGCAAACTATTATGGAAGTGTAGGTATAACAAAAGAGCAATTAGATACCATATGAAAGATCCTTGGTGGGTAGATAATATTGAGAACATCAACTGTTGATGTGTTTTGCTAAGAAAAGTGAGTTTTTTTATAGAGAGAAACCTCAGACCATCTTTATTTCATAAGCTTCTGTTAATAACTGAGATTTCTAATAATCAGCTACCCTTGGTGAAATGGGATTTCATTTATTTACTCAAATATGTCTTGAGGGAAGCTCTCAGCAATGAGTTAGCCAGTGTGGACAATACAGAAGAAGACATCTGTTTGGTAGTAGAGTTGACTAAATCAGGTATGTAGTCTGGGTTTCGCTGAAATGATTATGCAACCATATATCTATACTGTAAAATTTTTTTGGCCAACATGAATGATATGGTCAATGTATACTGAAGGTAAAGCCCTCATTTATGTCAAACAAAGGTAGAAAGGAAACGAACAAAAGCAGGGCTAAAGAAAACCTTACAAAAATTACTTCAACCCATATAGGGATTTTACAGATCATGGCAGTGGAAAGAATCTGAAGCGTGCATTTGGTTAGGTTTGAGAAACCGAATGTGAACCGTAGAGAATAAGTCATTGTTTGAGTATATCAATAAGTAACAAATAATGTAGAATGTATTACCCTTTGGGACATGATATTTATTGAATAAATGACTAATACCTCCCATATATTGAGACCTACTAAGTACCAGGCAGCGTGTATATGCGTATGTGTATGTGATTCAAACAACAGTCTTATCTGTAAAGTTTAATTTTACACATTTAAATTTGAGAATATTTGAAGCCCAGACTCAGTGAATAATTTTGTCTCTGTCACACATTTCTAAAGGGGTAGAGCCTGTAACTGAACCTTTGTCTTTTTGACAAAAGGCCAAATTCTTTCCACACATCCCTTTTGGTCAGTTAAAACAAAATTTACTCTTTTCTGATTCACAAAATTTTAGAATTAGAGGAGACTTTAGGGTCATCTGGTACAGTGTACCTCCTACTACAAATATCTCTGAGATTTTATTGAGTCAGCTTCTCCAAGAACAATACTTCCGCCAGCAGTGAGGCATAAGATGTCTCATTTAGCTTTTGGGAAGAATAATAGGAAGGTCTTAATTAAATTGAGCCCGTTTCTGCTTTCCTGATTAACTTCTCCCCATTGGTTGTAGTTCTGTCCTAAGAGTAGGCTGCAGTAAGGTTTTTCTCTGCTAGGTTTTCTCTTTTCTAAGTTAAATATTACAACCCTTACAACTTCACGTAATGCCATTTCCTTTACCTTTCTCATCTTGTCAACTACATTCAATTTTGTCAATGCTATTCTTTTCTGATCTCGTTTTTATATTTAGTTCTCCAATTATGGTCTAAATACAGTATAGTGAAATTATCCCTTTCTTTAATTCAGGCTATTCACTTAAGTTTACAGTCTAAAAT